TCTCTAACTTCCACATATATGTAGTCTATACAGAAATTTATTTTATTTTTATTTTTCATTTTTAAAAAAAGTATTTTTAAAGAGATTTATGTATTGCATTATTATGCACGCCGGAGGTTTAATTACTCGCATTATGTCAGATACATTTTGTTTTATAATTTTTAAATAAAAAATTGAAAATTTATTAATTCAAAAATAATATTAACTATTTTGAATATATTATTAAAAATAATGTTAATCGAAGAACTGATCACTGTCTTCGCGAAAAAATTTAGAAATAGAAAATTAGTTTATTTTGAAGAAAATAAATTATAAAAACTTTTAGTGTATTTTTTTAAAGTGTCAAAATAATTAATTCCCTCCATTTGATTATACTCCTTTGCTGCTAAACATATTTTCACTGCAATAAATAGAATTTTTGACAATATTTAAAAAATATTATCTAATTATATATAAATGTTGTTAATTTATTTTTGTGACATATTAAATATTGTATATAGTTTATATTATTAAAAATTTTACATAATATTTTTACATAATTTGAAAAATGTTATTAAAGTGGTATTTTTGTAACATTTTACTAATGTTATTATATTTTAGTTAACTTTATAAAAATAATAATTAGTTTTAATATAGATGTTCATATCATTTATACTTTATGATTCTTAGTCCCCTACAAGTCCTTTAAGATTGAAGACATTCTTAGTTAGTCACCACCAAATTTATATCAAATATCAAAATTCATTTATTTTAAGTATCACTATATATACACACACATTATGTGTCATTCATTTACTTGATTTGAGACTTTAATTTTGAAAATAATTAAAAAAATAATATTGATATAAAAAAATGTCACTATAAATAAAGTAACATTTTTCAGAAATAAAATGTTGCACAATAACCTATTAACTCAATCTATAGTAACATTTTAATAAATGTAAGTAGGTAAATGTTACTAAAGAAGTGAAATATAGTAATGTTTATTCCTTTCAATCAATCCATCTTCATAGTTTTTAATTTATAAATTCATTTGCATCAAGTCAATAATGGACCTAGTTATTGTTGTCGCAAGAACATTCGGTTCATCTTTCATTACATTTTCCAACAATCAAATTTGCAAGTTTGGGAATTGCTAGGTGTTCCTCCTAGCTCAACCAACTTGAGTTGATTTCATAGCAAGCTCAAATTGATTGAGTAGTCTCGTCAACTAGCCACATATATTTATAGCACAACTAGCTAGAAAAATCCACATGATCGTAGAGCACATCAAAGCATCAAACATTGAAATTCATAAAACACTACCCATAATCACAGGAGCTGAACATGCAAGAATATCTTCAAAAATCACATAGAAACCTAAAGTGACAGCTTACATAAAGGGTACCAAGTATCATTTTAACCTAATTCTTAACATAAACTCCCTTCTAATTCAAGTGTCATAATATCTTTGCAGGTGTCTCCCCATCGCCATGGATATCAGAGCAGCAAGGATATCATTCAGCCATCGAAATACTTGTAGAATTTTGGTAAGAACATTTGGCGCTTGTTGTGAGGTCAAAGTGAAACTTTCTTCCGACCACACAGGTTTCCACTTGAACCCAAACAATGAACAACAACATGGTAGGAATCTCCACAACGAACAGTAATAGTATAAAAACAAGTACTTTTATACTATCAATAATAAAATATTGTTAGAGAATAATGGTTTGCTAATTGTTTAATTTTCTATAAAATTTTGAATTATAGTACATATACTAGGATTAATATTATATATTTTCACTTGTTTCTTCTTTAAATTTGTTCCCACCATTCTTTCAATTGAACATTAAATCCTTGAATTATATAGTCATATTTCAATATAAAACATTTTTATTTTTATATTAGTTGTTGCTTCCATAATCATTTGGCTTATTAAAACAAATATGGTAACAACATAGTAGGCCATACACCGGTAAAACAACATCCAAACATCTTGAACAAAACATTGTTGCAGAAGATAAATCACTTACCCTAAGTTTATCTTGCAACAAAAACCTAAACATTATGGATGTACAACACTTGCATATACTTGGGATTTTAATAATCAAACAAAATTGAAACCAGTAAAGTAATTCTTGGTAATTAAACAGTAAAATAAAATCCCCTTATGGGGCTACAAGTTTGAAATATACAAAACTATACAACTGAGTTGGTCTTACAAACACAACAAAAGTCAAAAGACTTATTGTCTCTAACTTCCACCATCTACCAGATGGTCACAATAGCTCTATGCCATTCTCATTAAGCTTTACCTGGTTTGCTACCATGTCAAAGACATGATCATTGTAGTTAACACAACAAATAAAAGGGTAAGCTTGATAAAAACAACATATCATAATAGCATCATGGTGGTGCATATAAAAGAATACATCATGCAACACTTAGTCTCACACTCGCATAATCATCACAATAATGTTTGTAACACCTTTAGAATTGACATCTCAATGACTCTATTCCATGACACTTCACACGATGAAACTTCACTCAACTCCTCATTGTTTAGAGCGTTTCATCGGTCAAAACCCTCAATGGATAGCCCTTTTTAATATGCTTGACCGCCTTTAGGATCTAACTAGCCCCACAAACTAACATAAGATTTTTCAACATGTTTTGTGCTTACTCACATGCTTTCTAGGAAACTTCCCTAATTGCTACCCTTAAATTGCTACAAGCCATGCACACTTAACTACAAAGTTCTTTAGTGATGAGCTGCTGAAAAATAGATTTATCTTATTGGTATAGGTAGTACAAATCCTTTAAGTCATCCTTAATTGCATAGTCTCACACATGTACAAATCTTTGGATCATTCTCCTTCTGGTGTGTCCAAACTATTACAAGCCCACCAACTTTCGTTTGATTCATCCCAAACAACATCATACTAAGAGAAATGGCATGCTTTAACACCATTTGCAACACCCCTCATATTTAATGCCTCAACAGCTCCGCTCCATGAAGTTTCACATAGTAACACTTTACACAACTCCTCGTTGGTCAAAACCATTCACTAGTCAAAACATATGTGAATAGCCCTTTCTAAGATGCTTAACTGCCTTTAGAATCAACGATTACCATCACAAACTAAGACAAGACTTTTCAACGTGTTTTGCCCTCATTCGCGCGTTTTCTAGGAAACTTCCCAAAAGTTTTCTCATCCCTAAATTGCTCCAAGTCAAACACTTTTAACTACAAAGTTCTTAAGTGATAAGCTACCAAAAAGTAGATGCATTTTGTTAGTATAAGTAGTACAAATCAATTCTTTTAAGTCATTCTTAACTACACAATGTCACACATGTACAAATCTCTATATCTTTTTCATTCCAATGTGTTCAAGCTATTACAATCTCACTATAAAGGTTCATGCACAACCATGTCACCACACGACATTGTATGCCACAACTTATGTACACGACAACATCGTGCTAACTTGCACCATGCGTTGTCACACATGAACAACAACAAAGACCTCCTACAATGAGCAGTTTATTCAACTTTGTAAGATCAAAAGGAAACCTAGAGTATCATCTAGAATCTATTGAAGCGTTATAAGTCTTTATGATAACAAATACTTTTCATAATAGATTAGAGTTTCATAAAATGACTTTCTCTAAAACAAGTAGTCAAAAGTTTCTCAAAAGAAAGCATTTCAAATGAAGCAGTGACATATTTCGTCTGTAAAATGAAGCACACTAGACGAAGCATATGATCTGAAATAAATGTCATATTTCTTTCTTGTTATACTGTCAGACTATTCTTTGAGAAAGCATTAATACATTATTCCTTAACAGATCGAATAAGGAAGGTATCTCGAAGAAAATGAAAGCTTTCAAAAAAGGAATGTCAAATCACTGTGTTATGATAGAAAGAGAAAATTTCGGATATCTCGGATAAGACACTAAAAAGAACAATTCTGCTCCAATACCACTCTATCACACTCAAAATAGAAGAAAGAGATGATAAGTAGCTGCCTAAATCAGATAGAAGATACACACATCTCTGATTAGCATTTGATGCTTCACTACAAGAAAAACGTAAATTTTTTACAGACATAATCCGTCGGTAAAAAGTAATATCCGTCGAAAATTCTCTATTTTCAATGGATGCAAATCCGTCAGAAAAATGGGCGTCGAAAAAAAAATTTGTTGGAAATTTTTTAATTTTAATAAATTTATTAATAAAACACCTCTCATATTTGACCTCTCAAGGGTTCTATTTCATGATACTTAACTTTTTAGCATGTTTTACTTTTATTCTCTTTGGTAAAATTGAGTGCTAACGTAGATAAGAATTGGTCACTACTAGAATTTCTCTTATTACATGTGACTTTTTCTGCGAAATTTTAAAAAATTCGCAGAAAACGTTGTTCTTACAAATTTTTCAAGTAATACCTTCGTGGATAATATATTTTTGTGAATTTTAAAATTCGCAGGAAAGTTTCCTACGAATTTTTTCGCAAGAAATTCTACAGGAATATTTTTTATGAAAAAAATAAAAACAAATTACTATAAATTCTATCAATAATTCTTCAACTTTCAAATGCTCACAATGAATTCATCCGATGCATTTGTTCCATGCCTCCAACATGTGATATATAATCTTTTAAATTCTAAGATTATAGATTGTAAGCCTAACACTCAACCATACAAATCAACTTAGGTTTAGGGGGGAGGCTTAAGAAGTGGGAGGTGAGGAAGTTGATAAAGGTTCACAAACCGTGGTTGTTTTGTATTCAAGAGACAAAAATGGAGGTTGTGTCTAGGAGGCTGTGTGAGTCGTTGTGGAGTCACGAAGATGTGGGGTGGTTTTCGAAGCCGGCGGTGGGGCATTCTGGAGGTCTCTTAATTTTGTGGGATAAGTCTAAATTTGTGCTCTCTGAATTCTTCATGGGAACTCATTATATTGGTGTGGTTGGTTGTTTGGTAGGTGAAAGCCAGAAGGTGTCAGTGGTGAATGTGTATGCTCCGTGTGATCTAGAAGGCAAGAAAGGATGCTGGCGTGAGTTAATTCAGGAGATCGAGGCTAGAGGGGGGGATCGGTGGTGTGTGGTGGGAGATTTTAATGCCATAAGATGTGAGGAGGAGAGGAAAGGGGTTCGAGGTTTCGATAGAAGGGAGGAGATGCGGTTATTCTCAGATTTTGTCAATTCTTCAGGATTGTTAGATCTACAAATGTTTGGGAGACAATTTACTTGGTTTAGAAATGATGGCAAAACTATGAGTAGATTGGACCGGTATCTTGTTTCTGTGGATTTTGCATCGTCACGGGAAGGGTTGGAACAATGGGGTCTTCCTAGAGGCATGTCAGATCACTGTCCTGTGTTACTTAAGACAGGTGTATCAGAGTGGGGACCTAAGCCGTTTCGAGTCCTCAACTGTTGGTTCGACGACATTCGATTTAAGCCTTTTGTGGAAGATGTCTGGGGGAGAATGGAGATTAGGGGGAAGAAGTGTTTTGTGTTGAAGGAAAAATTGAAAGAGTTAAAAAAGCATATATATATATATATTTATATAGTTTATAATAAGTGTGTGTTTAGTAGAAGAGAATTTTTTATATATATAAAAATAAAGAACCCTAATAATCCGATTCTTAAAAACGATTTAAATCTATTTGGCTAGTCATAAGTATTCTCGAGATTAACAATATTTATGTCGTTATTGGAAAGTTAGATTTTTAAATCACCTATGAGAATAATTTGGTGAGAAACATAGGTAAAAAATTAGGAACACCTTTGAATGATTGCAACCTAAGGAGTTGTTTGGATTAAGAAAATATTTTATATTTTTGTTTTTTATTTATATTTTTTGAAAATAGTTTTCATTTTCAAATTTATAAGATTTAGGGTTTATTTTCATAACTTATTTTGTATTTTCAAAATAATATTTGAATTGAGGTGGCGACAACAACATCAATAACGATGATAGCAATGGTGGTGGTGATGGTGGTGTGATGGTAGCGACACTGTTGACACTACTATCACTAAATTTATTGATAGTGGTGGTCAAAATAATAACAATGATGAAAATGATAATAGTGGTGATGATGATAGCAATGATAATAGTAGCTTTATGGTTACCACCATTGTCACAATTTTTGTGACAATGATGATGTGATGGAGGCAACAACAATGGTAACGACAATCATAATATCGGCAACAATAGTTAATTATATTATCGAGAAAAAAATACATATATTTTAGTGATAATAATTGTTTGGCATTTATAATAGTAAAACTTTTTTTAATTTATCTTTCTCTACTCTATTACTAGCCATTACTATGGCCACTAAAAGTTATATGTTTTTACTTTTAAAATTGTTTATAATTTATTTAATAATGCTTTGTAGATAGCTAATTTGATCTAGGAAATGCTTTCTTGATTTTTTCTTAGCCAATGTGTTGACTGCTATCATCTATTAATTTTGTTTTTATTCTCTTTGGTAAAATTGAGTGCTAACGTAGATAAGAATTGGTCACTACTAGAATTTCTCTTATTACATGTGACTTTTTCTGCGAAATTTTAAAAAATTCGCAGAAAACGTTGTTCTTACAAATTTTTCAAGTAATACCTTAATAATAATAACCTTTTTGAAAATTGGGGTGTTACACTTATAATACTCCAAGTCAAGCATGCTTAACTATGGAGTTCTGATGAGATAAACTACCGAAAAGTAAATGCATGTTGTTAGTATAGGTAGTACAAATTAATTCATTTAAGTCATCTTCAACAATACAATATCATATTTATACTATCTCTGGATCCCTCTCATTCCGGGGTGTCCAGATTGTTATAAAAATATAATAATAATAATAATTATATTATATTTAATTAATCTTTATTTATATATATACTTACTTTTATAATTAACAATCTACTTATTTCTATTTAAAATTAATATTATGATACAATTTAAATTATTTATTATAAATTTAAAAATTTAAATAATAATTTATATATTTTAAAATGATAAGATTATAATAATACCGATGTAACTTTCACTAAGTATTACACCGCTCAATAACTTTATATTAAATATCAATTTTGTAAATCCAACTGTTAGATTGAAAGTTCATATCACTTTATATGTTTATATCAAATTTTGTTAAAATTGAACAACAACTTGAAGGTAATCAAAGTGTTCATATTTTAGTATATTTTAAAATGTATATATTACGTCAATTTTGTTTTACAAGAATGAAGTATCAAATCATCTTGAATTAATATAAAATTTTGTATATATGAGCTAAGAGTAAAAAACTTTCAATTTAACGGTTGAATTTATAAAATTCACATTTAATATAAAGTTATTGAGCGGTGTAATACTTAGTAAAAGTTACACCGGTGTTATTATAACCCTTCTCTTTTAAAATATTATTTTTATAAATTAAATTTTAACATTTTAAATAAATTATTAATTAACTTAATATATTTATTCATCTTAAATCTAAGATATAAAATTCAAAAAATGTATTTATCCTTGTTTTATTTTCTAATTATCAACCATTAATAAAATACTAATTTAAAATCTTATCTAATTATATCATAATATTTTCAAATCAAATTTAAAACCAGATATTAGTTATACAAAAATATCTAGATCATATAGTAAATTGTCAATAAGATTCTAGTTAAATAATTTAAAATAATTAATTTTTAAACTACATTATTGGCAAATAATTTATTCCAAAGCAAATCAATTTTTTCTATATTAATTATACTTAAAGTTTAATAGCTTGTAATTTAACAATTGGATTGATGAAATTCAACATACACTATGAGTTATTGAGCGGAGTAACTTTACCAAGAGTTACTTTGTGAGTCATTTGATTTCTTCTCCTCCTCCTCCTCTCTCTCTCTCTCTCTCTCTCTCTCTCTCTCTATATATATATATATATATATAGATACTTAAAATTTTATTGATCTTTTTTAATATATGATTGTCAATTTTCGTCAAAAATTCTTACATTTTGATAAATATAAATTTGTCGGAAATATTCCATTAGATATATAATTTTTCCTACAAATTTTTTTCTGACAAATTTATATCCGTTAGTAATTATCAATGGATATATCTGTCGGAAATATAAATTTTTTGACAGATTTATATCCGTCGGAAATTATCCCTCGGTAATATAACTTTTCCTACAAATTTTTTCCCGTCAGAAATATAAATTTTCCGACGGATTTGTATCCGTCGGTAATTTGCATTTTTCTTATAGTGGCTTGCATTAAATGCATCTATAGTACCCTCTAAAGAATAGTTGAGAATACAAATGAAACAACTCAAGGAAATTTGAATGTTTAAATTTTGAACGTTGCTACAATGATCATCGTCTCTGAAGCCGCTATATAAGGGTCAAGCCCTCAAACAAAAAGGAAGACTAAGAGACAAGTAAGAATGCACAATGTGAATGAGCAAAACATGAAATAAACAGTTGAAGCTCTACGAAGAAGACTTTTATAGCAAATCTGTATAGAATTCTTTGTAGACTACTTGTGCCAAATTTGTATAGCATCATGTCTAGAAGAGACAAAGTTATTTTTGTAACTCTTATCAATTGTATTTGTAAGGGTTAAGCCTAAAGAGACTTGTTTAAAAGAATACTTGGTGATTAAGCTTGAAGAGACTTGTTGAAAGAATACTTGGTTTTAGCTAGAAGTGGTTCGGTAAAAAATACTTGTATCTTGTTGAAGATAGTGGAACTTAATCTGGTTGGATTGAGAACTGGACGTAGTCTTTGGGTTAGAGACGAACCAATGTAAAAACACTTGTGCCATTTCATCTCTTTTACCACTTTATCTAATTACCTTCTAGTACTTTATTTGTTTACGTTTTTTACTACCTCACTGTAAAAATGTGAGTTTTTGATATACACTATTCAACTCCCTTATAGTGTGTATCTTTCGCTGTAACAGACTTAATTCGGACAATAATAACCTTAGTCACTCAAGTATTATCACAACATTGTGCCTTGTTGCACCATGCATCGTCACACATGAACAACAACAAAGACCTCCTATAATAAGTAGTTTATTCAACTCAACTTGGACAATATTAGTCTTAGTCACTTAAGTATTTTTGATAATAATGAGGAATGTCTAGTATCACTTGTCGGGTACAAAATAATTTGGGTATAAGCCTACCATGACATTGGTTTGCAAATACCAAGCTCTTTATGGATTTAGCCCACTGTCAACTCTTAAGATACCGCATATGTTTGTTGGGTGGCATTAATTGTCCTATGGTAGAGGCCCAAGTAAGTCAAGTCATAGTCAACACGTAACACTTCTACTATTATGGTTAAGTAAAAAGAGTTGTATCTAGACTATCAATTATATCTTTTGGCCTAGTGATAAATGCTTGATCCAACAATTGACATCAGAGTCAAAGTCTCATGCTCCATTCCTAACAGGAACAATTATTGGGGGAGATTGTTTGTTAGGTGACATCAATTGTTCCGTGGCAAAGGATTAGGTGGATCAAGTCATAGTTGATATGTGGCGCTTGGGATGTTATGATTATGTAGAAAGAGCCTGACTATCAGTTATAACTTATGGCCTAGTGATAAGTTCTCAATCTAGCAACACACCCTTCTAGCATTGGGTTGGGGTGCACCTGAAGCGACCACCCATGACTTATGTGCCAACTCAACATCCAAATTCATAAAACCTAAACATGTCCATTCGAACAACTAGCATGAAATGACTCACACCAAAGCGTTTTCACAAACATTGTTTTGGACTATGAGCACTAGGCTTTTGAAGATCCAATCATCTTGTATCTCTCACCAGATAACTCAACAAAACAACTACCACATCATTTTCCTTTAAACCACCTTAAAGGATTTTCAAAAATAGTAAAGGTGAAAGGGATCGGGCCTTCCTAACATCCATTCTCAACCCATAAATTAAGGACTCAAGCTTTTCCTGCATTCACTATCAACCCATGCCTAATCACACACAAATCAACTACAACCACAATAGGCTCGTGCCTTTAATAAGACACCCAACAATATACATGTATTTATACGTGCATGTATACATAACATCATCATCATCATTAACATAAACAACATCATATCGTAAACAAATTAACTCTCATCAACTTGGCCTATAAAGCTTTAGAGAACATGAAATAATAGCACCAGATTCACCTTCTAGCAAAATAGTTACATTAAGAGAGCCCTTTCTTGCTAAGTGAGAACCCCTCAGCATGCGACTTTCACTTAGTGAGCCTCCCTTCACTAAGTGAGTCTCTTTGCCTTGGCTAGGTAGAGATTACATTCGCTTAGCCACCAATCATGGTTGAGTAAGCTAATCAATGAGCCATCTTTGGTACCATTCTCTTTAAGTTACCTCCTCATCGCTAAGAAAACTCTCAAAGTCCCTCAAGTCAAAGACTATCTCTCACTCATCCACTACTTGCATTTGAGCAAGCTACACAAAAAGCCATTCTAGGCATGATTTTACTGAGCAACCAACCTTGTCGTTGAGCGAGTGACTTAGGTCTCATCAGCTAGATTAGGAGCTTGATTGAGGTATGTGAAACTTGATTGTAGCTTATATTGATTGTATTAGCATATATGTTGTTGTATGAAGTTGGATTGATGACTCTATATGGTGAATTATATGTTTGGGGTTTTAAAGGATTTTGGGGGTAAATATTGAGATGTTGTTTTGATTCCCAAACCTCATTACATGTTGAATCTATGGCTAGAATTGATCAATAAATGTTGTTATCTTGATCATTCATGGTTTGTGTGTGTTTTTGGAGTTGCTAGATTAGGGATAACAAAAGAACCTGTACTCACGGGTATCTGAAGATAAAATTTGTAACAAATACATAAATGGATACTTGTGGATAATGAGTACATGTATTTTTCTACTCATTTATAAATGAGGCAGGTATAGTAGTGTCATTACTCATGGGTACCCACTAAGTAAAATTACTTAAACATTCATGTTAATATTGCCTTTTCATATTATTTTTAAGTTCAACAAAATTAACGTTAACTGAAAGTTAAAAAATTAATGTCAAATATTTATTTTTAATATTTTGGTAAAATTAACATCAAATACAAGTTTAAATTTATTCAAAAAACTTTATTATTATTTATTTCTATTTTTTAAAAAAGTTCACAAATATCCATGAATATCTACAGGTATTTATAAAACTCACAAGTACCTACTTAATAGATACCTGCACGAGTTTGAGGCAAATTTTTATATAGCAAAGCGAGGACGAGTACCCTATTACTTGCCCCCACGAGACTCTATTTTCATCCCTAGGTTGGATGAGTTGAGAAAGTGCATGCATTGTGGGGGTGTATCGCATTCTCACTCAACATAATGTTGCTCACCGAGTGATCCTTCATTACTTGAAAGCCATAAACCCAAAAATTACACTCTAGCTCAACATTAGTCACTCAACAAAAATGCATGATCATGGATGAACTCATTGAAGCTCCGTCGGGTGACACATCGTTGTTGGGTGAGCATTAGTCAATGTTGTGACCATGTTGATTTTGCTTATTGAGTTATTGCCAAGTGAACCCTGATCTTTGAATCAAAGGCTTATTATATATGTGTTGTTGAGAAACATAAAGATTGTTGAGCGAAAGTGAACCTCTGACTGCAATGAGTTTACAAACTTGCTAAGCCACGGGCTATGGATAACCATACTCGACTCTCTACCAAGACCCATTTTCACATGGTCACTAAGCAAGAGAAGTCTTGTTGGGCGAGAACCATATAGTGGTGTTTATTCACTCAAAGAGCCTAGTCTTGCTCAACGAAAATATTATTTAAAGAACACTGAGATAGGTGAACCTATATTAATATGTTATGGTGTTCTTGATATTGTTAGTTGTTTACACATGTTAAGATATGATGAATGGTGAGTTGACATGGTTTGTAAATAAAAGATGTAGGTGGTATATGTTGATGGTTAAGATGTTATGCATACATGCATATATAGATGCATGTATACTATTAAGTGCCTTGTTGTGGCCACAAGCTTATTATGGTTGTAGTTGTTTTGTGTATGGCATGTGTGTTGAGGGTGAATGTGGAGAAGGCTTGAGCCCCTAATTCACGAAGTTGAGAGTGGGTGCTAGGCTGGGCTAATCTTATTCATCCATGTTGTTTTTGAAAAGCCATTAAAGCGATTTAAAGGAGAATGATGTGTTGAGTTGTTCAATGAGAGATACCGGGTGATTGGATCTTTGAGAGCCTAGTGCTCGTAGTGCCAGATGGGGATGTGTTTTATGAAAAAAATAGTTATTCTCCTTTAAACGATGTTGTGAAAATGGTATGGTGCAAGTTGTTTCATACTAGTTATTTGAATGGTTGTGTTTGGCTTTTATGAACCTAGATGTTAAGTTGACACATAAGTTGTAGTTGGTCACCTAGGGCTCACCTTGACCTACTGCTAGAAGGGTACATGATTCCTGGGGGTAGATAGTGGACTAAATCCATGTAAGGCTTGGTTTTATAGACCAATGTTGTGGTAGTCTCTTACCCAAATTGTTATATACTCGACTAGTGGTACTAGACCTTCTTTGTTTATGTTGACAATACTTAAGTGACTAAGAGATCTTTGTTGTTGTTTTGTGCGTGACAACACATGGTGTAAGCATTCATAATGTTGTGATGTATGCAAGTTGTGGCATATGGTGTTGTGAGATGATATTATTGTGGATGTATCCTATGGTGAGATTATTGGGACAATGTTGTGAATGTGAGACTTGGTGTTGCTTGGTGTATTCTTTTACATGCACTACCATGATTTTGTTATGATATGTTATTTTATATCAATCTTATTGATAGCGATGCCGAGTCACTATCAAAAGTAAACTAGATTTTTCCTAAAAATTTGCAATATAAGGAACAACCCAGGTCATTTTTCATGAAGACACAAAGACATTAAATTTATATTTTATCATGCAATTAGTAATGGGATTTTTTAATATTTGAATAGTATTCAATCAACAAACAAAGAATTAGGAATTAGAAATTCAATCAGAGAGGTATCAATTCAAGATTTCAATTCATACGATAAAATTTTTATAGTTCAATATTAAATCTGAATTCTCAATCAATCTAATTCAACTCGAATTTAATAAAAAAATGTAGATTTAAATATGGATTTATGAATTCCATCAAAACATGGAAGGCAATCATGATCTCACAATTTTAATAAAATTCAAGAATGGTGAACTGTTGAATTAGGCGATTTAGGTTATTTTAGGTATAAATCTAAATCTAAATTTAGATCTAAAATTAATCTTCAATCTCTCTTATAGATCCAAAAAAATTTTCATAATCATGAAAAATGAAAGAAAAACCAAAAATAAAGAAGAAGAGAAATAGAGAATTCGTTCGATAAAAAGATCGAGAACTTGAATTTTACTGTAATTATTGAAATTTAGAATTAATTAAAAAACTAGCCATGCATCATAATTATGTTGCAACAATCCAATTTGTGTAAGTAAAACAAAAGATATGAGAGAGAGAGGGGGGGGAGATAAAGAATTTAGAAAAACTTGTAAACGAAGCAACTCTAAAATCTAAAAAATAAGGTATATTATGTTAAGTGTATATGTGTTACACTTATTTATATACTACACTAATGTGTCTAATCTGAGTAATTAAAAGTCCAACCCACTAAATCAACTAATTGCATCACTAAACAAATCCTAACATTACAATCTAAAAAGAAAGAGAAGATATTGTATAGGGCCACAACTTTGCAACACATTTTTCGGTCAGTTAACGTTTGAATTGGACTTTTCTCCCAACAGAGAAGTTGTAGAACTCTCTCTTATCTTTTCAGAGACACCAAGAACATTCAAATCTAATGTCGAGAGCTCTAGATATGGCCTTCACAAGAAACAATGTCAAAATAGAAAAAATTAGAGAAATTAACTAGAATTTACAACTAAGATCAAAATGACTCACTAGAACAAATCAAAGCTAATATATCAAAATATGATACTAATAAAAGTCAAATATATAAAAAATAATGCATAAAAAAATATACAAAAATTGATCTATTACTTATCCTTTTCTCTGTTGTGTTGATTGTAGTCTTTAACATCAGAGTAGACTATGTATAGCTTGAGGAGAGTAGCTTGAAGCTACTATGCCCATCTAGTGGATGGTGGAAGTCGAAGACAATTAGTCTCTTGACTTTGTTGTTTTGTTTCGTAGGATTGACTTAGTTGTATAATTATTTTGAGATGTATGTATTTATTTGTATATTTTGGATTTGTAACCCAGAAAGGGGTTTTATTTTACTATTTGATGACTAGGAATTGCATTACTGCTTTTGATTTCAATTGATTATTAAGATCTTGAATATATACAAGTGTTGTACATGGACGATGTTTAGGTTTCTATTACATGATAAACCTATGGTTCTATTGCGATATTTTTATTTAAGATATTTAGACATTGGTTATTGATGTATGCCTACTAGGTCATTTTAATAGTTCTCTTTTAAAATTCTCCCTTATACACCTTAGCCATCTTCATGTCAACTCTTACAAACTTAAGTTATATTCTCTAAAGGTCTAGCATTAACTTAACACTAATCCATATTTATCAACAAATAAAACAACATAAAAACATCATACATAATCACATATATAATGTATACATAATTAAAAAATATGATGTTGCAAATATTCATTCACTTTTTAATTTTAACATATAATAAAAAATATCACTAAAGTTAACCTAATAATTAGGAGGAAGGGATTAGTGTAATCATAAGTATGAAAAACTTATTCCTATCTTTATAAAAAAGAAATTTAATATATGAATTTCAGTCGATTAATATTTCTTAATTAGAAATAACATGATTGAACGGTAGAAATTTAATAAATTACATTTGAGTTCTTCTATTAAAATTAATTTGTAATTTTGCTTCGTAATTATTTTTTTCTCAAGTTTAATGTGTTGTTTTTTATATATGGTTGTTACAATTAAGTCCTTTTGTTGAATTTTTTCAATGTAGATCTTTTTTTTTCATTAAAATAATTGAAATTTATGATGGATTTCACAATAATTTAAAAGGTTCGTAAGCTAAAAATTTGATGTAATTTGTGTTTTTTTTTTAAAAAAAAGAGAAATTGAGATTTTTCTGAATTTTTATATATTAAATACAATCGTGTAATTTAATTATAATAAAAAAATCAATTTTTATATCCTAAATACAATCGTGTAATTTAATTATAAAAAAAATCAAAATAGTTTAATCGATTCAAATCACATAGATTTTGAATTGATTTTTTTTTTTGTTGAAAATTTTAGATAAATAAAATTTGAATTGAGACTCATTAGATTTTACAAAACCTCGAATTCTCAAGGTGAGAGCGAGACTCGCCCCAGTACTCGTCGCTGCCCCCGCCGCTGCTTTCTGTCCACATTCCGCCACGACAACAGCCTCTCTCGGCGTTTTGTTCCATCGCACAGTCCACGTAACAGTATCCGCACTCAGGTTAGTACTCCGCAGTCCGCAATTCCTGATGGTTGCTTATGTGCTGTGTTGCTCTATAATTTGGCATGAGGCTATTTGAAAATAATTTATGTATAGTATTGCACTAATATAGTTTTGTTGTTTGAAAATATTGGTGTGTGTATGTTATATATTTGGTTGCTCTGTTGTTTTGTTGCTATGTAATTTGGCTGCGCTAGGTAATTTAATTGCTCTCGTTATGTAGTTTGGCTGTTTTGTTGCTATGTAATTTGGTTGCTCAACTTGCTCTTGTTCTGTAATTTAGTTTCTCTTGTTCAATAATTTGTTTGGTTGTACTATGATGATTCTGATTTTAGACATGGAATTATATTAAAATGTGTTATGAAATTATTTTTTTTGGAGGTTTCTTTAAGGCATGCTGTGAATTTTATTGAAATTTATAAGTATGAAATATATATGACATGAATACTTTTTAAAGAAATAATAGAGATTGGATCATGCAATTTAATTAGTGATCGAGAATTTGAGATATGTGGTTTTGAATGAGAATGTAGCAATCGTCATTTAAAAGGGTGTTTTAGTCTAAAACCCTGATTGTCTTCCCTTAGTTCAGGTGTTCCATTTTTCCTCCTTCGGTTCCTTTTCCCTTCTCCCTCCATCTGTTGTCATGGCGGTGGAGAAGGAAAAGCTTCAGGAAGAATCTGTAGTCTGCCGCTTCTACCAGATTATTCTTAGTTGGGACTACTTTGCTCTCGTCAAGGAATCCAAGGCAATTCACTCATTCCTTACTCCTTTTGTTTGTTTGTTTGCTTTTGCATTGCAAAATTCACGTCTTTGAGATGTGATGTTTTCAGAAGCAGAAAAACAGAGAGAAAAAAGGGCCTGTGGAGTTGACGCTTGTTAAGGTTAAGACCCAATACAAAGATGTTGATGATTATATTACAACGTATGAACCCCTCATCTTTGAAGAAGCCAAATCCCAGATCATTAAGGAGAAAGAGGAGGATGAGGGTATTTTTAATTTCAACTACTTTGCGTCTTTTTCTTACAGCAGATTACTATTCTAGCGGAATATTATTAATTGTTAATAGTTTTGTCTCATGTCTTTAACCTTTTTTTTTTATCTCGTTGTTTTTAATAGCATTGTAGCACTAGCCAGAGAATATTAAGTGTTTATATTTTAAAGTTTGGAGGGTCAACTAATATGACTTGGAATTGTTGGCATATAATCATGCTTTTTAAGCATGTGGTCAGTTGTTTAATCTTCAGTTCCATGTGTACGAAAATAGTTTGTTGGGAGAGACTAAACCCTTAAATGGATTTTCGTAACCAATGATTAGTCTCTACTCTCTGGCTTTTGGTCAGGATAACTTAGGCACAACAAAAGTTTGGAGGCTCTCTTTCTGTACTTGCTGAAGAATTTTTTATCTTTGCCTGACCACAGTGACTGAATGGAAATTGGGGGTGGTAAAAAGTTGGAGTGAGGCGGATGACTTTCACTTTATAGAATTCCCGTGTGAAATCAAGGAGGGAGAATCAATATCACAAAATGATCTTTTGCTGCTTTCGAAAGATAAGGTACCGCTACTAGTGATAAGAGTTTATGTGTTTTTTTTTGGACTTTTAATTGTTTTCCAATTTGAACTGATTGCCTGTCAATATTTGTTGCTGGACAGATTTTGGATGGCAAAAGATTACCTACTGTTTATGCATTTGCTTTGGTGGAACATGTACGTAAATTTTTTGAAACAAGACTTCTTCGAGTTAGACTTTACCTTGCAGGAGAGTTCTCACATTTCAATACAGATAATGTCCAATCTTGCCCCAGGCTGTTTAACATGCGTTCTCATATATGTGAGACAGAGAGACAGTTGTATTTTATGAAGGTAACTTGTTCTATATTGTATTCTTGGCATAAAGGGGAAATATGATATCTGGGTTCTTTTAGGAATTATCAAGGAAAATATCTCCAATAGATCAAATATTTCCCACGGAAAGGTGTTAGGTTATTAACTTATTTGTAAGTGCTATTATATTTGTGGTATGCTTTGATATTGAAAATAGGGCAACATGCCTTCTGCCTTAACATTTTTGTTCATATATATATATATATATATATTTAAATATTGTTGTGGAAAGTTTAATCTCAAAAAGTTTTGTAATTCATTTCCTACTCTTTAGCCATGTGTTTAATTCTATATGGAAATGGTAGATCTTTGAAGTTTGTGTAGTTCTTCTATTTTGGCATCAATTCCGCTCTTTCTCTATAGAATGTTGAAAATTCCAACTATTATAAAGAATCAATCAAATGTTATTTTCATAGGATTTTTATTGAAGTGATACAATTGTGTGCTTTTTATACTCCGAGGCTTCAATTCTTGACTAATGAATTGTATTATTAATTTTAAAAAAATGGCAGAGGTTTTCAATATTTTTCTCTCAACAGAAAAAAGTTCTTATAGATTAGTTTGCCCTTTGATCCATTGTGAAAATTATGCAGATGTGCAGCTTATCTACCATTGCTCGTGAGTATGTGGCTATACGAACTATAAGCTGTCTCCCATACAAGGATTTAATATTAAATGCAGTTCCAGAGAATTTTGGCACAGAAGTTGAGGGTTGGAAAATCCCAATACCTTTGAAGGAATATGTTGAAAGTACTTTCAATCAGTATCAACGTGAAGCCATAACAGTAAGATTTAGTTTAGAAGTTCAATAAAATAATTATGTGTTTGCTCTTTTTGAAGCAATCGGATTTTTTTCTTTTTGTATCCTTGTAATATGGGGTTCTGGTAATTACTTAAAGATGACATTTTCAAGTTTGGGTTTGATAATAATTAAAATTCTGGACTTATGATTTCAAGTGTATTATCATGCATAACATCCATATCATTAAAAGTCCTGTTTCTCACTTTTTATTTCCAAGTTTTCCCTATTTAAACATGTTCCTTTTTTTCCCTGTTTTCTTTAATTATGTACACGTTAAATGCTTAGACTTCAACAATTTCAATCTCATTTGAATTTCTTTTGGTTTTAATGTAGGAGTTAAAAAAAATACATGAGCAAATAACATCCAAAACAAACTAGTTAAAATCAAAATTAAAATAAACAGTAAAACAGAAATCTTAAAGCCCACCAATCTCTTCCTGTCTTCATATATGCTTTCATCTTTATCATTTTCTTTTTGTTTTTATGAACTCTTTAGTACTTTTTTTAGATGACAAAATGTCTTTCTATTGATGAACCGCTTTAGAAAGATAATTGAAAAAAAGTAAAAGCTATTTTACATTTGGATGCAATCTTCAAAAAGTACTTTTTAATGTTTGAACTTTGAACAGCTTCTCCTTTTTTTAAGTTAGCTTTTGTGTGGTCTTTTTCCAGAAGCACGATATCGTTTGCTAAGAAAGAAAACAATTTTTTTTGCCTTTTTAGTTTAAAGCCTAAGCATGCACAGTTATAAGAAAAATCGATACAACATATGCCATAATCAGTTATAACTTACAAGTCAAACAACAAAGAGGACAGAAAAAATGACCGAAGAATCTTTATAAGTGATTAACTGAAGATCAAAAGTTTTTATTTCTTTGTAAGACATAAAGCTCATGTAGCATTATTTATTCCACAATAACATTTTATATCTGTTGCAGGCTGGTCTATCATCAAAAGCCTTTGTCCTGATACAGGTTTGTCTTTATGTCTGGCTTTGCTTCTGCTGTAGAATTCTTTTAACGCTTTTGCATGCTTTCCTTTTCTTTTAATTAATATTTGATATTATGTTTATCAGTTTATGCTGAATTGTTTTATTCAAAGACTTGTTTGTTATAGTTGGGAATCGGGAGAAATTTATTATGAAGAACTGCCAATTTCAAGCTTTCCTGCTGCCAGTTTTTTCTCCAATTTTATTAAAAACTAGTTCCATGATCTTCTTTTTGACTTCAAAACTCCTGAACACACACACACACACACACACACACACACACATATATATATATATATATATATTTTATTTTAAGTTCTGTAAGAGAGTGACCAGTTAGACTGGATGAACCATGAACTGGTTAGTTCTTGACTTCTTGTAACAGATATAATTTATCCTTTGCTATTTTGTGTTTCTTATGATACAAATTACAAAGGTAGGTCATTGGGTCAGATTTTGTGAGTAATTACTACTGAAAAACATGTTATGATGTTCATTTCTATCATGTCACTAGGTCCTTTCCAGAATTTTTTGCTGAAGCTACATCCTTTCTTGATAATGTGTTTGCTGTTGTAATTTCTAGCTGACATGCATTATCCCCTTGCTCGATATCTGTGAGATGTATATTTATCTTTTATTTTTTATTATATTTTTTATTTTTTATTTTTATCAATTTGTAGTAGTTCTTTGTTTTTTAATAAAAAAACTGTAATTGAGTCTAACAAACTCCTTTCAGGGCCCCCCAGGGACAGGGAAGACTCAGACCATTCTTGGGATTCTAAGTACCATTTTGCATGCAACTCCTACAAGAGTGCATTCAAAGTAAGTAGAATATTTTTTTTATATATTTCTGCTGTCTTCTGTCTTAAAAATAAAAATTCTGATTTTGGTTTTGATTGTTGCTTGAGCAAAGCATTATGTTAAGAGTGTACCTCATAGAGGTTATATTTTTAAGCAATTTTTTTGGTCACATTTTTGTATAATGTTTTTGTTCATACATATGTAATATGTTTATTGATATTTGTTTCTTGGACTCAGGACCTATGAGCTAAGGCAGGGACCACAGATGCCTGTTGAGGAGAAGTAAGTTTTGCTTTGAAAATATCGAGGCATCACTTAATCAAGAAAACTTTATGTCATGTGTGCTGGTTTTTTCCTGTGATTCTGATATTTCTTTTTATTCCTCATATTGAACACCTTTTAAAATCTTTTCTTTGTTCTTTTCATTATTAGTTTCTTCTTTATCCTAGTTATACTTGATTGCTATCTGGCTGTGCCTATCTTCCTGCGGTTCATATTTAAATATTGTTTTGAATCTAAGTTCAACAATAAGAGTAAAAACAGATATTTATCTTATATTATATACATCAAGAAAATAGCTGTAATTAAGTGCATATTTTCTTGGTTTCTCTTCACTTAAGTTGGGTTAGCTTTATATGGTATTATAAGAAGCTGGGAGGATTGCTCAAAGCTAAGGGCACTGGCTTATAAAGTCAAAACACGAGTTCTGAGTGATTACGTATTTGATATGTGTTGTTGGAGAAAGATAAGGGAAGGAAAAAACCAACCGGCTCAATTGTACTTTAGAGTTCTCCAAGGTCCTGAAATAGTATTTGGATTAGAATATTCATTAGTAGATTTTCATTTAATTAAGAGATCCTGATTAAAGTATGATTCTAGATGTTTGGTGTATTAGGCTAGACAAGTCAGTTTTATTTAGTTGAGATTATGAATGTAGGTCCATAACAGAGTGCACTTCCAAACTGATAAAGTTGATTTTGGCCTCCTTAGTGTCCCTTGCATATTGGCCCCTCTTTCATTCTTAGTCTTCGTGGAATTTAAGAATAACTGAATTTGATTAGATGCTGCTGCACAAGTGCCTCGCAACAGTTATTTTTAAATTATATTTTCTTCATTCACCTTATCAGATCTTGTGTTATATTGCTGCCATCGAGTCTTACTCATTTAATAATCAATTTGGGATGATGATCACTTCTGCCCCAAGAAAAATTAAGATAGAACAAAGATGGTTGTTGTACTAGCTTTGTTGGTAAAATTTGCTTTTCATATTTCAACTAGCTAAAAGTTTTTTTTTTTAATCTTTTTTTATAGTTTATTCTAATCCATTTTCCTTTGGTAGACAAAGACATTGGGTACTAGCATCTCCATGGCTTAGTGGTATTAATCCAAGAGATAGTTTGATGCCGAAAGATGGTGATGATGGTTTTTTTCCAACTACTGGAAATGAATTAGTAAGTACTTTTTTTGTTGGTTAATATTATTAATTTTACAAAATAATGTCTTCTCTAATAATGGGTTTTATCAGAAACCTGAAGCTGTAACTTCAAGTCGTAAGTATCGTGTAAGAGTGCTTGTATGCGCCCCATCAAACTCTGCCCTTGATGAAATTGTGTTGAGGGTTCTCAATGGAGGTATGACTTATGAGGTTTCTCTAATGCATTTATTTGGGAAAAAAGGTTTCTTTTGCATTGCATTCCCTTGCATGATGTGATGATGCTACTAGAGTAAAAGAGTTCCAAGGACTATTTGTTTAGATAGCATGCGAAATTTGGTAATTAGTCATCTGAAAGTAATTTTATACTAAATTATGATGTTAAATGTTCTGAAGCTTGCAGAATTGAAATCCTTATATAAAAATAAGTAATGCATTGAGTGCAGTGTGATGTTTGTCCCTCTTAGTTTTCTGTTTGGGGTGGGTGTTAAGATTTCAACTGGAACACCTTTGCTAGGGAGATGTCATTTGCCATCCTGGTTGTGTGGCCAGTTGTTGACCCTTGTAATTAACTGTATCATATTATAAGCAGACTGAACTTGACTGAACAATTCTTGATTATTTTTTTTCATTAATTGTTTACTTTTTTGGTTTCTTTCAAGAATAACTTATTTCTATACTATTTTATCATGATTGCATATTTTTAATTATTGTTTACGCCTTTATGGATGTTCTCAGGTGTACACGATGAAAATGACCGTGCATATTGCCCTAAAATTGTGCGGATTGGTCTCAAAGCACATCATTCTATCAAGGCTGTTTCCCTGGATGAACTTGTATGTAGAAGAAGATTTGACCAATTGTTTTAATTAGCTATGCTACCACCATCTTTATTTATCTTGCATATCACTACTGTAAAATTTGGTTTTAATGCCATGATCATGCATGGTAGGTCAGGAGAGAAGCTTAACTATTAAATTGATGGTTTTATGGCTGGGATCTCTGATCATTGAAATGGATTTAATTTGTGTTTATGCTTCATATATCTTATAAATTGGATCATCCAGTCATACTGTGTTACTAAACACATTAGTGTGTAGATTTCAAGCCCAAAGCATATTCTTCAGCCTTGGATTTATGTATGTTGTATCATTGTATGCCAGTCACTAAAGATATGGTAATGCCCATTTTTAGATCTTTGAGGAAAATAATGCTCTTATAGAAAATAAATTTTGAGCATAATGCATATTTCTTGAACTTGGTTCTAACCTGCCAATTTTGACTAATGCCTTGGTAGTCTAAACTTTTAAGGATTTCTGTTTTACATCGCAATTTGTGTAATTAATCTGCATTTAAATGTAATCTGGGTCAAATCTCAATGTTTAAAATTTTATGTGCAGATGAAACAAAAACGTGCTGGTGCCAACAAATCAGTCACCAATAAACAGAGTAACGGTCCTGCAGGAAGTAATGATGACAGTATACGCGCTGCAATTTTGGATGAGGCCACAATTGTATATATTTCACGCTTTATGTTGAATGCAAAAGGAAAAGCAAAAATAATGTGATTTTCTTAGTATTTTCGTTGTGCTTGACAGGTCTTCTCTACTCTCAGCTTTAGTGGTTCCCACGTTTTCAGTAAACTAAACCGCAGCTTTGATGTTGTGATTATAGATGAAGCAGCACAAGCTGTAAGTGTGAAATCGTCTTCAGTTTAGTTGCTGAATCACTTGTTAGATTGCTTGTAATATAAAAAAACTTGGCAAAGTTTGGTCCAAAGAAGTTGCAGCGGTTCCTGAAAATATTATAGCTACTAATTTTGAATTGTAGTATGCAAATGGAATAACTGTCATGAACCAACTATCCCTAAAACTTAATCTATATTAGGTGAAGACACATGAACGGTTTTGTGTTATGAGGTGGTTGATTTTTGTGGATTCTAAAGCTGAGGATTGCTTAGATTAGGAAGTGGAAAGACCTAAGATCTTGAATCTGGTTCCACTTGTGTAGTGAAGAAAGGTGACTAGTGTGTTTGTGTTGGCTTCATGGTGAAGGTAACGCAACAAATAGTTGCTTCTACCTTTTCATGTTATCACCAGGATTTTGGGTGTATAATTGATTCTTTGTTGTTATGCAATTGCAAACACACTAGACATCTGCAGAACTGAAGAATTGAGTTTTAGGAGAGTAACCCCAGTCCCCCTAGTCAAGAACACCCAAGAAAGACACATTTGATAATATATGATCAGGTAATTTATCTTGAAGAAAGAACATACATGAAACATGCAGAACCAAATGCACAAGGAGGAATTTCGTAAAGAGATTCTTTATGAATAAAGATTTATTTCCTGAATTATTAGACTAATAATTCCTAAATTACATTGAAACTAGGCAATCTTGGTAAGTTAAACAGAGTTGTTATTATGTAGTTTCCAACAATATTGTTTACTTATTATTTGTAATGAGAAGATTAAGGATTGTTGATATATAATGTAAAATGAATGTTGCTTATTTTATTTCAACTCTTTATGACAGGTGGAACCTGCAACTCTTGTTCCTTTAGCCAACCAATGCAAAAAAGTTTTTCTGGTACTTTTCATTGCTGATCCTTGCAGAATAGAAACCTACACTACTTTACTTCTTACGATATTTAAGCTGCAGAAATGTCTTAATTAACATCTTAATTATCCATCATTTATAAAATACAAATTTCAAGGGAAAACATCTGTAACGAGAGCAAATTCATTATTCACTATGACTCTTGATCCAAAAGATACAAAATGGTACATAGGAATGAGATTGATAATTCTGTCTATTGATTTATTAATTGGTTAGACAACCTGGAGAATGAAAATATAATTTTTACAACAATTATTGAACATTTCTAAAAGCGTGTTGGATGATGTACTAAAAAAATCTTGTTGGGCTAAGCACTTTTAAAATCATTTTGGGCCAATGTTATTCTTATAGCTGCTATATTATCTTGCTATTTTTTAAAGGTTGGGGATCCAGCTCAACTTCCTGCAACTGTAATTTCAGACAATGCTAAGAATCATGGGTAAGCCATTCTTTTGGCTAACACCTGAATTGTATCATTTTAATACATTAAACCATTCTTTTGGTTAACAACTTTTTTTTGGTCTTTTTTCTTTCATGAATTCAAGATATGGCACAAGCTTATTTGAAAGATTGATGCAGGCCGGTTATCCAGTTAAAGTGTTGAAGACTCAATACCGAATGCATCCTGAGGTTGGTGCATATGGTTAATATGTCCTATATTGACTAGGAATAAGGCTAAAATACTGCTTAGAAGGCTTGGGTTATCCTTCCCCCTTGAATTAGGTTTTGGAGTTGAGTAAGGCATTACTCAACCCATTTCTAAATTCTAATACATATGTTAAGCAGAATCTTGCAAAATTAATTTGTTTAATATATGTGGTCTTTCTGTTTTCAAATGAGTATCAAGTGGCTGAGACTCGACAATTACCTCTGAATGAAGAGGTTGAAACATTATAGAATTCCCTCCAAAACTAACTAGATGCTTCAGACTTAAATTGTCCTGCTTGTTTTAATATAGCAGGTTTTTCATTACTATTTGATACAAGCAGATACTAAGACCCTTGATACCGAAATGAATGTAGCAAACAGATATACTTGTCCTTTAAGAATTTGTCTGCCGTAAATTGTTGCTTCCTTTTTATTATCATGCAAGTCCAGTCAAAGTAATATTGCAGATGCAGTTGATGTTTTTCTTTCTTCCTCTGCAATGTTTGGTCTAATGGTTGATGAAATTAGTTTTTATTTTTTCTTAATATCTATTGATCTGTGCCCTTAAAATATTTAGCTTATAATTAAGTTTCAAAAGAACTAAATGACTGTGATTTATAGCTCTCCCTTCTCTCTCTGCATGTATGGCACACTAATCACCTAACATGATATGCTGTCTTAATGTCTATTAAACTTTGTTTCAGTGAGATCTAGACAGCTTTCAAATTCAAAATTGTAGTAGCTTAAATTTAAATACCTGATTAACCAAGATTTGTATGAAGAATGTCAACACATTGCCATTGCCTAATACTCAGGTTGTTCATAGTAGCCTAGTCGTGCCTTGTGATATGAGACTTGGTGACATACGGAAGATAAAGAGAATGAAGGTTTGAATATAAGGGCTGTGTTCTTGTCAATATAAGGATGGAAGTAATAAACATGAGGCTTAATGTGCTGGAGGTGGGGTTTTGGGATGGATTAAGCTCCAGGAAAATAGATGGAACAGAAGGAATTATTTGGGCAGTACTTTCCGATCAATAGTTTGGTGAATACAGGGTCCACATTGACTCTTGCTGTAAGTGGTGTTTTAAACTAGGTCTATAGTGATGGCTTTTTAGCAAAAATTTGGGAGAGAATAATTATGGTTTTGATGGAATGAACTATAATGATGCCTAATCAAGAAACTTATCAAAGCAATATTTTAAATCGAAGAATATATATTATAAGGAATACGGGAGAGAAAATGTTTTAAAATCAAGCCTACATGTTACAAATGGAATGTGTAGAGAAATATTCCACAGTTTCTAAAGTATTTTCTAGGATTTGATTTTCATGTAATATTCGATTTTTATGTTCCTTTCTTATATTACTTTTATCTTCCTTTGTGTTCTCTACACTATTGAAATTTCCTGTCAATTTTTTTGAAGTGGGTTCTCTGACGTTATGATCAAACAGATACGAAGCTTTCCCTCTAAGGAGTTTTATGAAGACTCATTGGAAGATGGGGAAGACGTCAAATTACGGACAAAACGTGCATGGCATGATTACCGCTGCTTTGGGCCCTTCTGCTTCTTTGACATACATGAGGGAAAAGAGGCTCGGCCGTCTGGCAGTGGTTCATGGATAAATTCTGAGGAAGTTGACTTTGTACTATTCTTGTATCAAAAACTGATTACACTTTATCCGATACTGAAGACTGGTAACCAAGTTGCAATTATATCTCCATATAGTCAACAAGTCAAGCTCTTCCAAAAACGTTTTGAAGAGACCTTTGGGATGTCAGCTGAGAAAGTAGTGGATATATGTACTGTTGATGGTTGCCAGGTAAACTTGCTCAATGTTAATGATATGTCCTTCATATTCATTTCTGCTTTCAATGTTTATTGAATAATAAATTATGCTAATACTTAAATAAGTTGGTGATCGTTTACCATCTGGAATACAATAAACCTGACATTAAGTATAATTGCAAGACTAAGATTGTGACTTTAAATCACTGGTTGTGAATATACATCCACATGAACTGTTGCACTACACCATAGACAATGCCTTATTGTGTAGTTTCTCAAGATTAAATTATAAAACCTTCAGAAAATGGAGAAATAGATCATGGCTAATTGAATTGAATATTTTATAAATTTCTTTCAGTTCAATGAATTGTTACTTTAAGGATTCATATAACTGGCGCTTCTCTTTTGGATGATTCTTTATGGTTGGATCCTTATAAAGCTCTCTTCTCTCTTTCAGGGACGGGAAAAGGACATTGCAATATTTTCATGCGTCAGGGCAAGCAAAGATAAAGGTATAGGGTTTGTGGAGGACATCCGGCGAATGAATGTTGGGATCACTAGAGCAAAGTCAGCAATATTGGTACCGTTCTTTTGGGGTTGATGTGATGCTTTCAAGAATTTCATTTGGTCCATACGCGTCTGATCCATTTTTGTTGTTTATATAGGTGGTTGGATCTGCCTCAACTTTAAGGAGGAGCGAACAATGGAACAAGCTAGTGGAAAGTGCAGAGAAAAGGAACTGTTTATTCAAAGTATATAAATAGTAAATGCGCTGAGAAGTCATTTATATATCTACTATTAGTAGTGCTATGAATTTGATCATAAACTCTAAAATAAGAATTTTAATTAAGCCTAAATGATAAAAAATTCCACCCTCTATTAGTACATGGTCCTAGTTATTTTGTAATGTTAAGAAATGCTAGAAAGACAGTTTGACACATTCTTTTAAACACATGTTTAATATTTGAAATTTATTAAAAATTACAAAAAAAGAAAATTGAGTCCCATCTCCTCTGAATGAATTTATTTCATGATTTTATAGTTTTCATTAAATTTTAGTCAACAAGTGTTAAAAAGAAAATAGAAGTGTTTTGGAAGAGTGTGTTCCTATCATGTTTGTAATGTTTACATAATTGTTGGTGAACCTGAATGTATGCATGATCCGTTCCTAATTATTTAGATTATAACTTCTGCACCTTGTACTTTGAAGCTGAAGACTAAATAAACAATTTTCATCTGCAGGTTTCTCAACCGTATTCCTCATTCTTCAATGAAGAAAGTCTGTCATCCATGCAAACAAAAGTGGATGAACCGTCTAATAAGGTGGTGGGACCTGCTGATACGGTAGACAATCATACACAGCATGACAATGCTACCGCAGCATATAATGATCAAGCACAACCCGAGGACAATGTGGGCGATGTTGACATGGATGATGGGGGTTTTGATGACGATTAAGGTTAGTTGTTATGGTTGTGTAACGAGGATCGAGGACAAGGAAAATTGTAACCTGCACGCACTAATCTGAATATTGAAATTATAGTAAATTATCTTTAATGCAGAAAAAGGGTATTGTACCCACTTCACCCATTTTGATTGCATCAATACTATTCTCACATCTGCATTTTATTTTTCTTATTATGCAATCATACTTTCTGTCTACACTTGCATCTTTGCAAGTTGCAAGGATTTTGTTAATTTTAGAAATGGAATTTTCTTATAGATATGATTTGATTTATTTTTCCGGTTTAAATTGCCACTTGTCGGTTATGATATCTATAAATGAAATAATGATAATTGTTCAATAACTTAGTCACCCATCTCTAAAGTGTTTCAAGCTATGCATGCTTAGCTACGAAGTTTTTTTAATAATGAGCTACCGAAAAGTAGATGTATCTTGTTAGTATATGTAGTATAAATTGATTTTTTAAATTATTTTCAACTACACATTGTCACACCTATACTAATTTCTAGATTCCTATCATTTCGATGTGTTCAAGTTGTTACACATGACATGGAAATATATACATTTCTTTCCGGTGTAATTCAATTATCCATTTTAACAATTTTTTTTATAAGATATGTAATTTGACTTCATTAAAAATACTTTATTTTAGTTGAGAATGATTTTATAAAAACAAATCATTCAAAAACACCTCATTTGAGTGTAATTTAACTAAAAAAAGTGTATTATGATAAAATATTTTTATTTAAACGGAATATTTTTTATAATAAAAAAATATATTTAATTAGCATTTTATTTGGGTCTAGTGCTTGGCCACCTCGTTGTCAATCTTGACCATGTTACTTTGTTGTTGAAATTGAAACATAGATGGAAATTGTGTTTTTTGTGTCTGACCAATGCATGTTAGTCGTGTTGAAAACCCAAAGAAAAAGGAGATGGCAACTATGCTTTCTTGACCATTATGTTTTATACACAATGTGCATCACATAGTGCACGCTAACTTTGTGTTGATACTCCTTTGAAAATAAACTACAAAGTAATGTTACTAAACTATCAAATATCTCACTTAACTTTATGCCTATATACACAATCACAGGGCATTTTCTCCTTTTCTCCACTTATATACATCCCATCCCTCATAACTAGTCATTACTTTGTGGACATTGTTGAAGTTGCAACTTTATTCTTAACCCCAATCACAATCTGCAGTAGTAAGAGGAAAACAATTACATTTTTGACCCACACATAAACCTTGCTTGACAAGTTCAATGGTTTCAATGTAGTGATTATAATCTTGACTAGCTTCAATTATTTTTGTTGTGTTGTTTTACTTGAATGCATTTTGATTTTTATACAAAAGTGTTCTTTTGTTGATATAGTTATCAATCAATATCTTCAAAATATAAATTCAAGACTTATCACTTCGTATAAAGTTTTTACCATAACAATTTCAACTACACAAATAATATATTATATGTATAAACATGGTTTTGATAAATATAATATTACATTTTTTTAGTATTGATTCTTATAAAATTTTTGAATTTTTAAATCTTCCTAGTTGTTTTGTTTTTTTTAATTTAAATTTTGATCCAACTTATTTGGTTTTAGTTGTAATATTATTCTTGTTTTTTTTTTGCCTTTTGCCCTTTTAATATACAATTAAATTGCTTTTAGTTCCTACCAATATTTTTTTCAAAGTGACTAGCATAAAATGAACAAAATGTAATAGTGTGTTAAATGGAAAACAATAAATATGTTATAAATTTTAAAACAAAATAAGAGTGATGAAAAGAAAAAGAAAAAAATTACGAGATCAAAAATAAAATAAAAAATAGTATAAATTAAGTACAAGAAACACATTAAATTATAATCATTGTTTAAATGTGTTTCCCTTGTGAAATGTGTTGAAGTCTCTCTTGCAAAATTTAGGAAAGAAAGAGTTAACCAACTTTATAGCTTTTGTTAATAGGAATAGTTCAGGGTTATGATAAAAGAAATATATAAAAGATTTAAATTTGACTCAAATTAAATGTCAAAGAAGACTAATTTAGTATGATTAGTATAACTTTGTAAAATGTTATAAATTGAGCATTCCTTTTAAAAATAAAAGAATAGTTATTTTCTGACATATAATATATCTATTGAATTGTTAAATTTGTGTATCTTACTTCTTTGGGAATCAAATTTAAAGACAAAAAAATATCCCTAATTTTAAGTTGAGTAATATAGTAAAATTAATCTTTGATTCGTAAAAAATTTATAATGATGATGCAAATAATTTGTTGAGCAATAAATACACTTTTGTCTATGCATATACAAAAATCGCTACAGCCTTTAATTGTTGTTGATGAATCTTGTTATGAAAAGTCAAAGGAAAGCAATATATTGTCATAGAATGACTAAAATAACAACACAAGTAATGTTAAAAAGTAACAAACCTATATTCAAGGATGTATATGTGTTAGTTAAATGTATAAGAATACAACTTGCAACTCTTTATTTTAAGAAACAAAATAGTTAAACAGTGTCAAATTAAAATGACAACAACGTTGCAAGATGAAAGAGTTGTTTTTGTGACAATATATAATACTCAATTCCAATTGATATTCTTGTGCCTATCAACACACAAATTCCCTTTACACCTTTTTTAGCTTCCTGTAACGTCATGAAGATGATCATTATATTTTGCATCACCTTTACATGTGGTTTTCTTGAAAATGTTATTTCAGATGCCAATCCTCTCACATATGAAGCTATATTCAATTTTGGTGATTCTATAAGTGACACCGGAAATGCTGCTACTTACTACCCATCTATGGATGGCAATAGCCCGTATGGATCAACATACTTCAAACATCCATCTGGACGTATGTCGAATGGACGATTAATCATAGATTTTATAGGTATATGCCATTGGTATTTTAGGTCGTTTAATAGAATTTCCTTGATAGGAAGGGAACATAAAAAATGTGTTGGTGATTCAAGAAAATACTAACTTATGGTTGTTTCAATTATAGCCGAGGCATATGGCTTGCCAATGCTGCCAGCATATCTTAATCTCACCAAAGGCCAAGACATTAGGCAAGGAGTAAATTTTGCATTTGCAGGTGCAACTGCACTTAATATGGATTATTTCATACAAAAAAAACTCATTCCACCATCGACGAATATTTCATTAAGTGTTCAACTTGATTGGTTTAAGAAGCTAAAACCTTCCCTTTGCAAAAATAAACGAGGTTTTACCAAAGTTCCTTTAGTAATGTTTCTACTATATACATGATTATTTTTCCAATATGGCTTACAAATTTTATTCTATTCTATGACAGAATGTGATAACTACTTTAGAAGTTCATTGTTTCTCGTGGGAGAAATCGGTGGAAATGATATTAACGCACTTATCTTATCATACAAAAATATTGCAGAACTTCGTGAAATAGTTCCACTAATTATTGAAGCAATAATCAATGTCACTACAGTATGTCATATCAAATTTAAGCATTAAAATGTGGACTTCAACTTTTGATTAGGAATATGAATGAGTTGCTTTAGATTGATATGAAAATCAATTGTGTTTTTGTTTATTCGTCAGGAATTAATCGAAGAAGGAGCAGTAGAGATAGTGGTGCCAGGGAACTTCCCAATTGGATGTAATTCTGCTGTCTTAACAATAGTGAACAGTGGTAAAAAAGATGAATATGATCAATTTGGGTGCTTAGCAACTTACAATGATTTCATTAAATACTATAATTGGCAGCTCAATCAAGCCATAGAAACACTAAGACAAAAAAACAACCATGTTAAGATAATATATTTTGATTATTACGGTAGTGCCAAACGTTTATTTGAAGCACCACAACAATATGGTACGTGGTGTTTTTAATTTCTTATATTAGATGAGCAATTTTATTATGACTTGTTTGTATCTTATGCTTTATTTATGTACATTAATGATGCAGGGTTTTCTTTTGGTAAGATTGACACTTTTAAAGCATGTTGTGGTAAAGGTGAACCCTACAACGTTGATGTACATATATTTTGTGGAAGTTTTGCTTCAACGATTTGCTCTGACCCTTCAATACATATAAATTGGGATGGAGCACACTTAACTGAAGCAGCTTATAGGCTAATAGCAAAAGGAATAGTTGAAGGCCCTTTTGCAAGTCCCTCTCTTAAATCTCCTACTTTCAAGATAGCTTAAAATTGACTCATTCATTATGAGAAGCTTTACTTATTTGCATAAATTCAAAATTAAGATTTATGTTTTTCTTTTAAAATATTTTGTACACAAGAAACCCATTCAAGCTATATGTTTTGATTATTGGGTTTATTGTGTTTTTATTGTGCTAATTGTACTTCTAACTCTATACAAAATTGTTTCCAATTAATATTCTTTCTTAACGTTCATCCATCCTTCATGCAATCAATTATATTTATATAAAAAAGTTTAAAAATTTGCACCATGATTCTATATGTTATTATCTTTAATCATGGAGATTTATATTAATTTTTAAAATACTTTTAATTACAAAATAACAAATTCTTGAGTTTTGAGTATAAAAAAAATATTTATGTTGCAAATCTCAATTTTTTTTTGTATTTAATGATATCATCCAAAAAATACCAACTCATTTAACCAAGATTGTATTATCGAATGAATCATTTTATTCTTAATATCAAGTTCTATTGAAGGATAGTTTATGAAAATAAGTTACTTTACACATGAGATAAGTTAAATTAAATAGTGTCAACCAACGATGGATCTACATAGTATATTGTGGGAATAGTTATCACACTAACCTTTTACAACCTTTGTATTTTGCACAAGACACACAATATATACAATATCCATAAGTTTTCTTAGATAATATAATAATATCTTTAAAAAAAATTTTAAAATTTGATAAAATTAAACTTGCATATAAATAAACTTAATTTTTTAAAGTTTATATATATATATATATATATATATATATACACTATATTATAATATGTTCTAATATGTGTGTGTATGTGTGTAGTTGTTGTTAAAAAATGTCAAATTTTGATGAGTGACATTTTCATTATGAATATTACATACTTTTTCAATATATATTTTTTATTTTTATTTGTTGTATTAGATAGATTAGTTAAAAGTTTAAAAAATTGTAAATATAGTATTTTTCTATATCATTCTACTGTTATTTTTTTAAAATATAATATCAAGTGTAGATTAAATTAATTGTG